ATACACGAAACATCGGCACCATCAATCCCCGACATAAACAATTATTTCTCGTAAAGTTTTATGATGCTTTTTGTCAAGAACTCCTCCCGCACTGCCCAGAAGCCATTTTTGCGCGTTTCGTTTTCAAAGAAGCGAGGGTAAAGTTACCCAAAAAACTGCAAAAAAAAGAGCGGAAAGGCCTTAGATGCTGCAATTTTGCCCAGAAAAATAATTGGCCAACGCATCGGCTGCCCGTGCGAAGATGCGTTTTTTGCACAGTTCCCCGCAGTTTTTGTCGCTACTGGCACCGGTTTTTTCCGGCAAGTGCTTCTAGCTAAACAAATTAAGACTGGCTATCAGAACTGTCAGGGAACACCCCCTTAAAATTTCAGCTTTGCAGTTTTCCTTGCTCCCGAGTTAGCAGTCTACCCGAAAAAAATTTTGGCGACCCCGTACGCAGGTACCACGCACACTCGGAGTCTGGGTTTGAGCTTGTTTAGACTTACGTGGACGGGGAACATCCCCTTAAATTTCAGCTTTCTAGCTTTTCTGGTTCGCGAGTTAGTGACTTGCCCGCAAAAAACTTTCACGGGCCCGTAAGTGGGTGCCACGCGGGCAAGACCGCCCATTTTGGGGATGGGAGCCCGTACACGCATGCAGATTAAGTTCCCAAAGTTTCAGCTCTGTAGCTTACGTAGGTCTCGAGATGAAAAATCGGTACAGACGAACACACAGACACACACACAGACAACCCCCTCGTCAATATGCGCTTTCTGCATTGCATAGCTGCAAAAATACACACAAAAAGCCTAATTTAGTCAAATGTAAGTTACATTAACGGAACAAAATGCACGACAACAAGCTTAGCACAATTTGGCGCACGTGGCTTTCGTCCCAGGTTTCCGCAACCGAAACGTTCCAGAGACAGAGAGAGAGAGAAGATAGCTCAACCGAAATTAAACTAGGCCTTCTATCTCGCGCTGTAGAAATTGAGGATTTCATAAAGTAGACTTTTTTAAAAGAACAGAGTTTAGGTGAGTGAAATGAGGGAAATATCGCTTCGCCAGTACCAGTACTCGAAGTCAAAAGTCAAAACCCTCAAAGTAACCCTCTCCACCACGACACTCCCCTCCCCTAAATGCAGATCCAAGTCTTTTAGAACGCACCCGAGCCAAGCTCTACTGACCAGGCCACCGATGCCAATTAAAAGGCGGGGCAATTACAACAATATGCATTTTGTACTGCTGTTACACAGCAAAAAAAGCATAAAAACTCGGCCCCGCACGGCCAGTATCATCATACACGATTTGCAAAAAATTTTTTCTCCCGACAGCAGATAGGGCTGCCCAGTGGCGGATGGCGGGAGTTTGAATGTGGCAAGTGGAAGCGAGAGTGAGATGTGGCGCGTTTCGTTCGAGGCAGAGGAGAGAGGCTGGAATGGGTTAAGAACTGAATGGTGTAGGTCCATCATCGGTTGGCTAAGTAACGTACATCTGGAGAGGAGAGAGGGAGCGATTATGAATGGAAAAAGATGCGGAAGTGTGCAGGAGCAAAAGTTCGTTACCCAGACACATACAGCTGGACTTTGACCTAACGAGTCGTGCGCCAGGAACATGTTCCTAAAATTTCAGTTTTTGTGGTTTCCGAGCTACTAATTTTGATGCCATAATTTTCATGTGGTCATACTTGAAACTTAGGCGTAAGCTATGGCTAAGTGCAAGTTTGCGAGACCACACACGGGTAGGAGATCTTCCCACAGTTTCATCTCCCGGCTTCTTTGGTTTATAATTTGAAAACTCGAGGCGCACCCGAAACACACACACACACGCACGACAATTCACATACACAGACATATACAGACACTTATGACACTGCCACACGCCAAGGAAACAAGCCCGTCATCACCTTGTTTGCATGTAACACTTAAAAAAGGAGGCCCTCAGAAGCCTTGCAGATGAATAGTTGTTATTGACATTTACCACGTCTGGAAAATTTCCCGAATGCCTCCAGCTTATACAGAGAATGAAGAAAGAAGGAATTTTGACTTTTGGCCATCACTCGTTTATAGCAAAAGGTTTAGTGTGGTAGAAATTAAAGATATATTTGTGACGTGAATTGCTGATAACCAATCATCAGAAAGCGCTATTTTAAAAAATATTAGTTTCACTAGAGTCACACAATAACTTTACAAAAACAAACAGGTTTCATCGACACGGAGTTATCACATTAAAACAGAAATTCCCATGCTTCACAGCACTCGCAGAATCTGTTTTTTTTTTTTTGCTAATACTGAAAACATCGCCAAGAGAAACTCTTCCAGCAACACAGGTTTGATTCCGCTTTAGCACTAAGCACTGCAGCTTCTTTTAGTCGCCTACAAAAAGAAAACTCTAT